TTTGCCGGTTAAAAATGTTCGTTTGGTGTTTGTCGTAACATGACATAAAGAATCTTCCTTTTTTTTTTACTGAATTCATTAAAAAAAAAGAACGCTTTTTGCATTGTGACAGCTGTCATATCAGCGTTCATCTTTAAAAAGCTTTTGTCAAAATCGGTGTACTTTTTTGCTTATTGATTGTAAAATTAAAGATAGAAGAAAATAATATTTTCGGGATATCATGTTTTTTTTATATATGTTAAAGAAAAATATGCTTCTTCATTTCCAGAGTTTGCTGTGCATTTGAATGATTCTTTTAGTTTGAAAGAAACCCAAATAACACATTGGTGAGAACTTTCGTTTTGTGCTTGTCGTTAAAAGAGGTATTTATAAACATGATTTTATTAAAAATAGCTTTGAATGTAATAGAAATTCCAATATTTTTTTAGTTCACATCGTTTTATAAAAAACTGTCAGTACGCACTAAATAAAAATAAATTCGATTTGATTCGTTCTTGCATGGAATAAATGTTGCCATATATAGTCTGCATTAGAAAAAAAATACTGAATTTCCCTATACATTCACTGTAATAAAGTGTTTTTTCCGCTACAAAATATGATAAATTATAAATTCTCCTCGGTTCTTTTGAACAAGAGTCGAAGTTTATCCCTTGTTTCCCGTTCTGGTTTCTTTTAAAGTCTTCTTATGCTCTTTCACTCTCAGTAGTATCTTGAATCTTAGGTGCTTTATCACCTTGCTTAAAGTGAATTGATTAAAAACATTCTCTAGCCATTATTATGAAGAATTTAAGTTACGAAAATTTCCCGAAATATGTTCTTTGTAATCCTTTTCCATTAATGTTCATTTTCCCATCTATTGAACAGGAGTAGAGGTTTATCCCTTGTTTCTTGTTAAGGATTGCGTTTCCAGTTCTTTCCAAAGTCAACTTCATCCCTATACTTATTAGGTCTTTGTTTAATATCTGAAACTTTATCTAATTTTTTTTTCCTCAATAGGAGTTGGTAGGTACGCCTACAGTCCGGTTCACACTCCATTCCGGTCATTTGAACAGGTGAAGAGGTTTGTCCCTTGATTCCTGTTTGGGAATAGGATTTCTAGTTCCTTCTAAAGTCTATTCGATTCTACTTTTAACTTCTCAGTCTAAACTCTGAAATTTTATTTACTATTTATTTCTTACTTTTTCTCCTTCTACTCCTTAATGCGAATTGGTAGGTTCGCCTATCGTCCGTTTTACACTCATCATTATATTTGGGTCCCGTCGGATGGCATTTTCGCCTTGTTTGGGGTGAACTGATTAAAAAAAAAGCTAGTTGTAAAGACTGAGTCATAAATTAAAACAAACCACCTTTTAATTGCTCTTGTTTCCAGGTCCTTGCCCTAACCCGGAGCACCTGTTAGGGTCCCAGCTATGGGCAAATAGTGCCTACCAGTGATGAACGGGCTCTTTGATGCTATAGAACATGACTTGTCTAGGAGATAGAAAATCTTATATAAGACTGATATATATATATATATATATATATATATATATATATATATATATATGTCTATATTTCTGAGATGAGGTATTATGTACAGTATTTACATTAGTCGGACTATTGTCCTCATCTTTGTCGCCATATTTGTCACAACGTTTCGGCCGTTGTACGCTCCGGCCTTCTTCAGGTGGTTGGAATTTCGAACTGAACCCTTTATTTCGATCACTGGGGTAGACTGTTCTAATTCCACGTGCCATGTTTGATGGATGTCAGTTATCAGTTATCTCCTGCTAATTTTCCCTCTGAAAGTTCTCCACTGCCTTAACCAGGAATTGAACTCACCTTCTTTGGGTCTGTCACTGGATCTAACCAACGCCTTTATCACATGGCACAGTGGATATCTTTTACCAGCTGAGTATAATTATTACGATAAAAATTTTAACTCTAGGTTACCCCATACGGAACTTTTTGAAAAATTTCTCAGAGTTAACATGTATACAAACAATATGCATAAAAGTAAAAGACAATAGCAAAACTGTATTATTAGCCGAAGCATTTCGTCCAATGTGGACTTTTTCAAGGCAAAAACAAAATGAATTTATTAAAAACAAAGTAACTATTGACAACAAGCAAAATGTCCTTAGCAACTAAATCTTTCTAAATTCTACTAATTTCTAAAGACATTTTGTTCGCTGTTAATATTTATTTTAAGGATTCTGTATTATTTATATATATATATATAATTCGGACAGTTTTTATATAATTTATCATCCTAAAAGGAAAAAAAAATATTAGATCGCATGAGAAATTGTATAAAAACTAAATAAACGCACCTTGTCTGTTGTATTCAATGAAATGTGCATGAAAGAAGGATTGCTGCCTTAATACACAAATATATATGTATATTTAATCTGCTTGTCTGAATTATCTCCAAGAAACGAGAGCAAGATCTAAAAGGTAAGCCAATCTAACATTGATCTCATCTCACTCTTGCTCCATATGTGGACTCCTTTGTAAATCACTAGCCTGTCTTAAATGCCACTTAAGACTATCGCACAAAATTTCATAACTGAATCAACTAAGCTGACTGATCCTCATACGTCGAAACCGATGAGAGAGCCCATATATATATATATATATATATATATATATATATATATATATATATATATATATTTGTGTGTGTGTGTGTGTGTGAAAGTAAACAGGAACTACTTACCTTAGTTTCAGCTAAATGGATAATCGCTGCAAAAAAGCTATCGTGAATATTCTGTCGATATTTTGTGATGAGTTTACAAAGCAAATTTGAAACCGAGAAAACAAAACACATTTGTAGGTAAATCTAAAATGTGTTTTTGATCGATAATAATACATCATATCTGATGTAGTATTTGATAAGAATCTGTGTCTTATATAAGTTTAGTGAGAATAAACAGGACCACTCCTTTATCAATAATGACAATCTTTAGAATTAACGGAGTGAAAAGAAAAAAAAAAAGTTTTAAATGAGATCACGGAATTATTTTGGTCATTTTTTTCTTTTACGTTTGAAAGGTTTACCGGACATATTTCCTCTTTAAAGGAAACCGTCTGATTTCTTTTTTGTGTCTCATTAATCTCGATATTTGAGAGGAGGATAAATTGAGAACATGAATCTTTACAGATGGGATATTGGCGACGGTTAAGGCAGCCATTTTGTAAATTGATGACGTAAAACGCGGTCATTGAAAATGAATAGATTGAGAGATACAGAGAGAAACAAAGCAAACGAGAAAAGAGATACCTG